CATTGATTACCGGGAGTTGAACAAGTTGACGGTGAAGAACCGTTATCCCCTCCACATATTGATAACCTCTTTGATCTGTTGCAGGGTGCATCTTGGTTCTCCAATATCGATTTGAGGTCTGGGTACCATCAAATGAGGGCTAGAGAGGAGGACGTGGAGAAAAACGTGTTTTGGACTCGTTATGGTCATTACGAGTTTGTGGTAATGCCGTTTGGGCTCACCAATGAGCCTGCAACATTTATGGATTTGATGAATCGGGTGTGCAGAGATGCTCGATCAATCAGTTATTGTGTGCATTGACGATATCTTGGTGTATTCCAAGATTAGGGAGTAGCATGAGGAGCACGTTCAAGAGCTTCTAGGGTTTTTGAGGCGAGAATGGTTGTATGCCAAGTTCTCAAAGTGTGGGTTTTGATTACGAGAGGTCCAGTTCTTGGGGCACCTCGTTAACCAAGATGAGATTTTGGTCGATCCGGCCAAGATCGACGCAGTTATGCAGTGGGAGGTCCCGAAGTTTCCTTCTGAGATAAGGAGTTTCTTGGGATTAGCAGGGTATTATTAGAGATTTATTCAGGACTTCTCTAAAATTGTGGTACCCCTCACTCGTCTGAAGAGGAAGGGCATCGATTTTCGTTGGGGGCTTGAGCAGCAGGCTGCATTTGAGACACTGAGACAGAAGCTGAGTGAGGCACCAGTGTTGGCCATCCCTGAGGGTGTTGAGGATTTTGTGGTATTTTTTGACGCATCCATTACTGGTCTAGGAGCGGTGCTTATGCAACGTGGGAGAGTTATTTCTTATGCTTCTCAGCAGCTAAAGCCGCATGAGGTCCCTTATCCGACTCATGATTTAGAGTTGGGAGCAGTGGTCTTTTCACTCAAAATTTGGCGGCATTACTTTTATGGGATCCGGTGTACTATTTACACGGATCATAAGAGTTTGAGATATCTCATGGATTAGCCGAATCTGAACATGAGACAATGTAGGTGGCTTGACGTGGTCAAGGATTATGACAGCGAGATTCTGTATCACCCCGGCAAATAGAATGTGGTCGCTGACGCTTTAAGCCGCATGATGGCTAGTTTTGCTTTTGGGAGTCTGTGTATGAGGGTATCGATTGATTATCCGCTTCTTGATCTGATTAGGGAGGCTCAGGCCGAGGGAGTCAAGAAAGAGAATTGGAAACTTAAGAGACTCAGGGGTGAGGTTGACAGGTTCGCTACTGAAAGTCGTGGATTATTGACCCTGTTTGGACGGGTTTAGGAGCCAGATTTTGGTGGGGTCAGACAGACTGTGATGGAGGAGGCGCACAAGTCCAGGTTTTCGATACACCTAGAGCCATCAAGATGTATTAGGATTTGAGGCTTAGTTACTGGTGGCCGTGCATGAAGAGAGAGATAACATGGTATGTTGAGCGGTGCTTAATCTATCGGATGGTCAAGGCCGAGCACCAGAGGCCGCATGACAAGTTACAACCATTGGAGGTTCTCATGTGGAAATGAGAACAGATCACCATGGATTTCATCACCAAGCTGCCTCAGACAGCTAAGGGGTTTGATGCGATTTGGGTAATTGTAGATCGGTTGACCAAAAGTACCCATTTCTTAGCCATCCATGAGAGCTCGTCGGCCGAGAAATTGGTCGACTTATACGTGTGTGAGATCGTGGCTCGGCATGGTATCCTAGTTTCCATAGTATCTTATCAGGACGTTCAATTCACTTCTCGGTTTTGGCAAAAGTTCCACGAGGAACTGGGTACGAGGTTGCACTTCAGTACAACTTATCATCCGCACAAAGATGGACATAGTGAGCGGACCATCCAGGCACTCTAGGATATGTTGTGATCCTACGTGATTGATTTTTGTGGGATTTGGGACTCCTACCTCCCTCTAGATGAGTTTTCTTATAACAATGATTATCATTCCAACATTGGTGCACCGCCTTTCGAGCTTCTCTATGGGAGGAAGTATCGCACCCTAGTATGTTGGGGAAAGGTTGGTCACAGGGTCATACTTTTAATATAAAAAATTCAAACACTTGAAGTCCATATCTAAATGAATATTTGGATGAGTTAGAATTTAATGTGAACATAATAGTACATTATGCCTACTGTCTACAAATCACTTTGAATATGGATAGTTTTTTCCAGCTTATAAAGGTTTGGAAATCTAGTTTTGAATGTGTCACTTTCAATCCATACGTCCAGCCAAAACAGTGTTTGGTTTCCTGCATTAACATGTTTTTTCAAGATATCTGTCATTGGTATCCGCACTTTCTTTAGGTTTTTGTCAACCGAGGTGATGTTTTATAAGCTGGAAAAAACAAAAAGATGCAAGGTGATGAATAGAGTGAAGCTTGGTGGGCTAGTATGGGATTGGAGATCACACCCAAACTCCAACGAACAGCTAAGTGAACTTGCAGTCCTATCTTCCATTATTGGCACATTTCAACCATCTACTAGACCAGACCATTGGTCATGTGATTTATCATCAGATGGGGAATTCTATGTGAACTCATTAAGACGAAAGATTGATTGGCCTGTGAACTCGACACCCACAACTAATGTTGAGTGGTTGAATGAAATTCCTATAAAAATGTTATGTTTTGTCTGGCGTGCAAGCTTTGGTAGAATTCCAGCAGCAACTGAACTTTCCAAACGTGGTATGGCATTGGAGTCAAACACATGCAGACTCTGTAGGATAGATGATGAAACGCCAGATCATATTTTAATCAGGTGTCCTTTTGCTTTAATCATATGGGAATGGATTTGGAGATGGTGCAATCTTCCTAATATCCATTTTAATACAGTTCGGGAGATCATAAACTATGCAACCAAGTGGGGGCATTGTCCAAAGAAAAGGAAGATCTTGACGTGTATTTGCTATGGTACACTCTGGTGGATTTGGAAAGCCAGGAACGACAGGTTGTTCAAGAAACTACATATTCCACCAACGATGGTTGTAGACAACATCCAATCATTAGTATATATATGGATTAAGCACATGAGTTCCTTATATGTATGTAATTCAGTGGATTGGTGCATTTACCCTCTGTAATTTGGGGTGCATCATTCTTTGTTCATGTTTCCTGCTTTCTTTCCTTTCTTTTTAAAACTTTCTTGTTCTCCTTTTTTCTTGCCCTTCTAGCTACTTGCTAGTTGTGGCCTTTATATAATATATTTGCCGGTTCCAAAAAAGAATATGGATAGTTTAAATTCAAAATGAAAATTACACATGAACATTTAAAGATTCAGAACAAGTCACACAAAATTTTAGAATTTTAAATAATGTTATTCCAAGATACTGTATAAAGTATGTAATATATATATATATATATATATATATATATATATATATATATATATATATATATATATATATATATATATATATATATTGATTTCGGCGGGTATCCAACGAGTAGCAGTTCCGTAAAAATAAGAACCGAAATGACTTAAGGTGGTTCCGAGGCGGGTTCAACTCCAAAAGCGGGTATTTAGTTCTGTTGCTCATCTCTATTTGGCACAAACAAATGATAATCATAAATTTCATCCAACTAAAGAAGAGTGGGAAGTTGCCCAAGTTATAAGTGATTACTTAGAACACTTTATATTGTATAAAGCTACAACCGTTTTCTGGTTCTTATCTTACTTCAAATATGTTCTTTTATGATGTTTGTAAAATTGATTTGCAAGTGATGAAGTGGAAACAAGTGAATATCATTTTTTCTTTTTGTGTAAGATAGCCAACCCAATGAAGTTAAAGTTTGACAAATATTGGAATGAAATTCCTATATTGATCCCATAAACGAAATGAGTTTAGTTGAGTACAACTATAATAAAATCCATGGTTCTCTTGCTATTTCATATGTTGAAAATGCTCTTAGTGCTTTGTTGGACTCTTCAATGAATATGATCTTATCTCATTCTAAAGTAGAATTAAAACTAATGTCATATGATGACATTATATATCAGGGACCATAATTAAAACTAAATTCATTTCTAGAGCAACTATCATCAAACAGTTAGACGATGCCGTTGTAATGACTTGTATTTTTGTATTAGAAGTTGTATATGAATGTGAGATGTGTATGGATCCCATATAGCCTCGATGCCGTTGTAATGACTTGTATTTTTGTATTAGAAGTTGTATATGAATGTGAGATGTGTATGGATCTCATATAGCCTCGTTGGAAAGATTAAAAAGCAATAGCTTCAATTATAATGCATGGTAATGAACTTTTAAAATCCATGAATTAATGTCCTACAAAGTCAAATGATGTGCCCTGCAATTTGGAAGCGTCATCAGTGGGAAGGTCCTGTCGTGGGTTTTGGCTAGGGTTCCGTTTGTGGGAAACAAGTATTAGAAGAGGAACATAACGTGAGTTTTGGGTTTTATGTTTTATAAAGAACCTTTTAACCTTAACTAGTCCAATGTGAGTTTTTAAAAAATTCGGGTATACCCGAATTTAAAGTTGCCTATCCGATACCTGACCTAAAATAATATCAGGTTAACTGATTACCCGAATTCTTTACCGGAAACCCGATTAACCAAACCGTTAACCTATCGGTTAGTTTATTTAGGTATCAGTTAGTTAAAGATCAAATTTGTAGCGATATGAAGTTATCTAAATTTCAAACACATTTCCAAGTTTATTAGTGAAATGAAGTTATTAGTGAGATATTTTCTATGATATAACTTGCTACAAGTGGCATATTAAATATGACATTTTAAACTAACAATTAAAAATGGAAAGATCAATGTAATTTATTATGCAAGATACAAACTAAAAAATGGTGAGTTGATGGGCCGATCACCCCGTTTCTTAATAAGGAAATTGAAAAAGCCCCATTTCTCAAAGTGGTCTCCACTCTCCAAATTCCAAATAGTAAAAAGAACAAAAAAGTTGACTTGAAAAATCAACACGTTAAAGTCTACATTAGAAAACCAATAAAAAGAAAAGAATATGTAAATACTAAATAGCCGCCACCACCCGTACCCATATGTTGACTGTCCTTGAAAACTGCAGAATATCTCCGCCGTCGGCCACCGTCGGCGAGAAGTCACAGTCACTACCCCTCACTTTCTTCGACATCATATGGCTGCTCCACTTTCCGATTCACCAGCTTTTCTTTTACGATTTCCCACATTCTAAACCTCATTTCATCCAAACAGTTCTTCCCATTCTCAAACACTCATTATCCATCACTCTTCAACACTTTTTCCCATTCGCAAGCAACTTAATCGTCTTTCCTAATCCAACAAAACCAGAAATTCGTCATGTTGATGGTGATTCCGTCGAGTTTACAGTCGCAGAATCTCATCTCGATTTCAAAGATCTTGTAGGAAACCACCCTCGAGCATGTGACAACTTCTATCCTCTTGTTCCTCCATTAGGTCATGTCACTAAAGCATCCGAATTTCTCTCCATCCCTCTTTTCGCAGTTCAGGTTACGTATTTCAAGAACTTGGGTTTCTCCATTGGGGTCACAAATCACCATGTGCTTTGTGATGCCATCACCAAGTTCGATTTCCTAAAGATGTGGACCTCGATTGCTAAACATGATACATATAATGGATCTTTTCCGTTTTACGATCGATTGCTCAAATACCCAGAATCTTTAGACGAAATCTTCATGAACCAACCTGGTGTTGAAGCTTTGAATGCAGATTATCAAATTCCTGAGCTTGTTGGCCCGAGTTCTAAAGTTCGAGCAACGTTTTTCTTGACGAAAGAGAGAATCAGTTTCATGAAGAAATGGGTATCCGTACAACTTCCAACATCTGGATACATATCGTCGTTTTCAGTAGCATGTGGTTATATATGGAGTTGTATAGCTAAATCTCGTGTTGGGTTTCAAGAAAGAAACGATGAAGATGATCAGTTGGAAAGGTTTGTATGCTTAGCGAACTTCAGGAATCGTATAGATCCACCACTCCCGGAAACCTATTTCGGAAACTGTGTAGGGCCTTGTGTCGCGATTACAAAGAGCATGATGTTATCGGGAAACAAAGGGTTTCTTGTTGCTGTTGAATCCATTGGAGAGGCTATAAGTAAAACGGTGAAGAAGAAAGATGGAGGGGTTAAAGACGCTGAATTATGGTTTGAACTGATGTTTAAGACTCCGGCGAAGATTCCGGCGAAGATTGGAGTGGCTGGAACTCCGAAGTTGAAGATTTACGATGTTGATTTTGGGTGGGGGAAGCCGAGAAAGTATGAGACTGTGTCGATAGATCGGAATGGTTCGATTTCAGTTAATGCGTGCAAAGAATCGCCTGAAGATCTTGAAATTGGGTTGTCACTTCCGGCGAAACAAATGGATGCTTTTGTTGATATCTTTAACAATGATCTACAGAGTTTCTTTTGAATAAAGGGCTGAATCAATTTTCAGGTTCCGTTTTGGACTCGATGTGATCTGAAAAATGTTGTTTTGAATAAGAAATGTGATGAAATAACCATTAAAATCATAGTTGGGCTCTAATGGACTTCGATTTCTTGTATTGGGCTGTGATTTTGTGTATTGGGTTGCCATTTGGTTTATAGGTGAATTTTGGTATGCGTTCCAACTTTGAACACTTATGTTTTATAGTTTTGTACTTTATATCTCTATAAAATATAAAATCACTCCCTTTATTTAATCCAATTACTTTGTTTCTTTTTTGCGTTATATTCATTTTCGTCTCAACTACATGTTACAACCTTTAGAGTTTAGATTACATTTATTATGATTGTATACCCGATTTCAATAGCCCTAAACATGGGTGCTTGTAATTTTGTGGAAAAAAAATTTGTTTCACTAATTTTTTTACTTTTTCATTAAAGTAGAAGTCTATAATGCATATAGTGAAAAGAAGCAAAAATATTAGTGAAACAAAGAAGTTCCAAAAATGACAAACACCCATGTTTAGGGCTATTGAAATCAGGTATACAAGCATAAAAATGTAACGTAATGGTTGTAATAGAGGTGAGCAAACACTGAACCGCAAAACCGAAAAAACCGTAAAAACCAAAACCGAAATAAAAACCAACGGTGCGGTTTTTAGTTTTACAAAAACCGAAAATGTTCGGTGCGGTACGGTTTCTAGTCTTGCAAAAACCGCAAAAAACCGAACCGTACCATATAAAATTTCTGTAAATATAAATATTTATCTTATCAGAACGATATTTACAAGAACAAATAATGTTTATGAAATTTTTTAGGATTTAAATATGAAGAGTACTAGTGATGATAATATCATTTTTATGAATACAATAATTGATATTATCGCATGTACCTGTGAAACAAATATTATATTTAATTTGTATTATATTCAAAAATTACAAATATTATATTTAATTTGTATTATATTCAAAAATTAGAATATCGGTTCCTCTCCAAGATATCAGTTGAGCTTTAATTTTACCAGCCTTATAAGAGCATCATACATCACCTTTGAGTTAAAATCTTCACCATTCTTACCTTTTATATAAGAGAGTTAAGTCTAAGGCAACCTTACACAATTTTTTCGCCACAATAGTTTTTTTTTTCTCTAAAAATAACAAGTTAACTCACATGCAATCAACAATCATAAAGAGAAACTAACATATTATCACAAATGGTATAAGTGAGGTTTCTAAGATAACCTTACACAATTTATCCGAAATGATCGATACAAAAGATGAAACAATACTTGTTAATGTTCATTTGGTTTTTTAACACAAACATACAAGAAGAAAGGAAATTGAATGAGGATGACCAATACTGGTAAGGGATGAATATACAAGTTTGAAGGGACCACAATCTTTGAGACTATCAAGGGACAAAGACACAAAGTCCAAGAGAAGTTGCAAGGGCCAAGGGAAAAATGACAATATTGTGAATTTTTGATAAAAAAAAGTATTTAATTATTGTTATTTCGATAATTGATCCATACTAGGTTTAAGTTTAACTATTCTATATTTTGTCACAATCTATCTTCAAAACGTCATCTCATATAAGTTATATCCGACCAAAAATATCATTTATTAAACATAAAAATATAATTAAAAATAATATTCTACATTCTTACAAAAATAAAAATAAATAAATAACTTAAGACTCTTTTCAATTAGTAACCCAAAACAAATTCGGTGTTTAATCGTTGTACGAACATTGAGTAATCTTAATTACCGTCGTTTCTATTCTAATCTCACAGCGGCACCACCACCCTTCACCTCATTCTCTCCGTTTCAACGCTTTCTCCGATTTATCGTCGCTGTCCCCGTCGAACATCGCTCCGCCGCGATTCATCTTCTCCGTTTCCCGACTCTCCTTCGCCGACGCTACTCTTCTTCATTGCTCTCTGGAATCCGCCGTCGCCGTCGCCGTCTCCGTACATCTTCTAAGGTAACCAATTGGGTATCCGAAAACTAATTGGAATGGGTAAAGAATATAGAGTGGTGTGAATAGTCTTCAAGATCATGAATCTCTTAACTTTACAAATCACAATTACTTTTGCTTGTTGAATTCTGGAAGCAGACAAAACCCGTCTGGCTAAGTCGATCATGGCTTTTTTTTAAACCCTAGTTTTTAGATGTGGTTGCACATTGATTACTTTTTGTCTTTTAATCGCTTATTTTGATTCATTTTTAAATCATTTATTCCACCATTGCTGAAAGAAATGGACCATTTCATTCACATTCAAATTAATTCGACAGTGTTCATCAATGAATTTGATCGCCGTATATTTACCTTCTTAGGTATCCACTATGATGGACGAGAATGAAGCCGATTCTTCAATCTCCATGTGAAGTCAAAAAAACAATCAGAAACCAACAATTGAAGATGCGGAGAGACTCGTGAGCGAGCGCACAAATACACAGAGATAGACGATGATATTACTTCAATCTCAGTCAAGATACCTCCTCCAGATCTTGACAAACCGCGTTCAAAAGTAAGTTCTACCAATTTTCAGCTCCAAATCTATCCTTTTCGCTTCATGATTCTTCTACCTAATACCTCATACCTCATACCAGTATTGATAAAGGAGTCGAGTTGGATTGCCACTGGGTTGAATTTGATGACGTTCGTTACCATATTCAGGTATAGTTGATACGAAACATTTGAATTCTTAATCAATTATTAAAAAACCATTGATTCAAGTAATGGTTACAGGCATCAATAAAGAATCCACATCTTCTACATCTATCAGTATCACTCCCCACTCCACCTCCAGAGACTGAATTCTCAGGTGGCCTTCCATTTGGAGCCATTGAAGCTATAAAAGCAGCATATGGTAGTGTTGTTCATATCCTTGATCCTCCAAGAGATGGCTTCAATCTCACAGTTAAACTCAACTTGTCTAAACTTCCTTCACTTGAAGGTTCGATTCTTTCTCTTCTCTTCTCTTCTCTTCTCTTCTCTGTAACATGACACTGTTACTTCTCATGATACAGAAATGAAACAAAATCTTTTGGTAAAGATTGCATCTGTGAGAGAAGTGGTAATGGGGGCCCCACTAAGAGTAATCTTGAAGCGCCTTGCATCAAGGTCTGTGCCCCCTAATGTTGGTGTCCTTGTCCCCCTTCTCCATCGACCTAATGAATCCTTCTTCATTGTTCCTCAGGTTCATAGCTCCATTTCCCAATATATAAATTTTCTTTAAAACATCAATAACAACTTCATTGCTCCATATTTAACACATTAAGAACTTATTATAAATTACTTTGGCAGATTGAAAAGGTAACTGTGGTGTTCCCAATGAGATTCAATGATTCCATTGATACTGTTCTTGCTGCATCATTCCTACAGGTTTTGTTCAAAAGAAAATACTGTTTTTTTTTTTTTTTTTTTTTTTTTTTTAAAGCTTATTGTTGTTAGTAAATAAAAAAATGGAAATGTTTATGAAGGAATTTGTGGAAGCAAGACGTACAGCTGGACTTAATAATGCCCCTGCTTGTCTTTGGTCTTCTTCACCTCCTAATGAACTCAAAGAAGCTCCTCAACATGCTTTATCTGCAAATGCTGGTTTTGTTTCTTTTGGTAAATTTTATGATTTTTGGGTTTATAACTTTATATATATATTTGTTAGATTTATGTATAAATAAATAAACAAACATATTTAATATTTTAACAAATGCAGTTATCTCAACACGACATGTAGAAGGAAAGAAACTGGACAAAACAGTGTGGAGTTTATCAACATTCCATGCATATGTCAACTATCATGTCAAGGTTACATTTCTCCTTCTAAATATATTCACATTTTTTGCTAATATTTTTGTCCTTTATGTTATAATTTATTAATTTATAAACCACTGAGCCTCATATATAACTATAATCAATCAAAGAAAATAGTTTGAAAGATATATAATAACCAATTATAGAATAAACATTTTTGGTATGTTTTTCAATTTGATAAAGGTTGTAACTTTCTATATATAACTAATTGTGGAAAACAACTTAGCCATTTTGTGGGGCCAGATGAAAAATTTTCAATTTTGTATTTAACATTTTTTTTTTCTCATTATTTTATTTTATGTATTTATTTGGTAACAGTGTTCTGAAGGATTTATGCATACTCGGATGAGACGACGAGTCGAATCATTAATCCAAGTAAAGAAATAGCAATTTACTTTTTTTTCAATTACAACATTTTTTCTTATTAAAATTATAAGAAAAAAAGTTTATATGAAAGTATGTTCCTATATCTTGCATTTAACCCTAATTGTACTTTTGCTTAGGCATTGGATCGTGCTAAGTTAGATGAGAATGGCCCAGCATCTCAAAGCAAATCTTTTAAAAGACTGGTTAGTCATTTTTTTTATAAATGTGGTTTGATTTTATAAAAAACTTGATTAATTATATAATTCAATTTTTTTGTAGAGCATTGAAGAATCACGTGGAAATTCGTATTCGTAAAAGTTAAGTCATTGATACTTGTAATGCTGTTTACTGTTACTTTTTTTTTTTTTTTTTTTTTGTGTGTAACATTTTTATAATTACTGATGGATGATATGGCAAAAAGGTTAACAAAACTATTACTTTTACATCATAAAAAAAAAGGTTGTCTAACATCTACAAACAAATATCTGCATATTCTTTATCAACTTTTATTGTGAATATAACTTTTGTTGCTAAACACGCGAATTTCATGCCAAGCTCATCATATATAAAGTGCAGTCAAAATTTTGGAAATAGTCTAATGTCAGCTTTATTTATTTATATTTTAAGTATTACTATTATTATTATTTTTGATTAATATGATAATGAGGATTGTGAAAATTGAACCCTAAAACCATTTTAGAATAGAAATGGTATGTGGGAATTAAGTAAAAGGTTTAAGGTGAGTAACTACCGAGTACATGTCCCGATCATTCTATTTGCTAAATGTTTTGGTATAAAATTATATAATAAATACTTTTGTTTGCTATGTGACAATTATGTTATTTTTATGCATCTCACGTAAATTATTTTGAAAATGCCTCCTCCACTTAGAAATGCAAATGCTGGTTGAAAACTTGTTTAAGCATCCTACTTGTTGCATGACACACTTAGGATGGGTTGAGTTGAGTGCGTCCGAGTGCTTATAGGTATTTAATCCAGTTTTATCTATGTAACTAAGTGTTTGTCTATGTGACTACTGTTTGTTTTTATGACTATTGTTTGTCTGTATGACTACCATTTGTCTTTGTGATTACTGTTTGTCTACGTGACCATTGTTTGTTTTTTTGACTATTATTTGTCTACGTGACTACTATATGTCTTCATGACTATTGTTTGTCTTTGTGAGTATTATTTTTCTACATGACTATTGAAATCCTAAGGAAATGGATTGGTTTTTTGGAGTAGAAAACTTTGGTTGGGGAATTAGAGGCATGTTTATTGCATTAAAATGATTTTGTATTGACTAGTTAAAATGATTTACATATCTTATGGTTGTAAAAGTTTTTAAAATGCTTTTGGGAGTTGTGACATGGGAATTGGATTATTGTAATTATCCAATTCCATTCTAAAATCTAACTCCATGTTTACTCATTATGCTCCCCAAGTCTTATAACGTTACTATTTTGACATAGCTTATGTTGAAGATCTAGTGAAGATGATTAAAGGATTAGTTCTTTGATATACAAAATACTTGTAAAATTAGTTTTCATTGTTTGTAACTATTTATTTAAATAGCAGTGTTGAGTCATTTGTTGCACCCTCATATGAATTGGCTAAATTAAGAATGTTAATAATTTACCATTTGGGACCTAAATTCAACAACTATTCTTTTCAAATATCGAAGGTTTTTCAAAATACAACCATTAAAACCGTCCGCCCATGTAAGGGGCGTTTCACATATCAAATGTTAGTTAAGAAATACTACGAAAATCAAATAGATAAACAAGCAATTGTAAGGGATTCAACCTAAGTCATGATGTCATGTTGCACTCAATATCATTAACTTATTTATTTATGGTTTAAGATTAAGAGGGTGTTTGGATAGGAAAAAAAGAGGGAGCTTATAGCTTATTGTTTATCCCTACCGCTATAAGCTAAGTTTAAGTGTTTGGATAGAAAACACTAAAAATCAGCTTATTGTAGTGGGGATAAGCTAAATAAGCTAATTTTAATATGCATCCCCCATTGTTTATAACTTATTGCTTATTTCTAATCCAAACACTTTGCAAAAATTGCTTTCTCTCACCATTAATAAGCTAATAAGCTATAAGCTAATTTATCCAAGCACCATCTAAGTACATTACCTGGTACCTAGTCTACTTACACATATGAAATGATACCGTCTAAACCATCCTTTATAGGGGGGACTATTTGGAAAAAATATATTTCGCCTAGTTTTTTTATAAAAATATTATCAAACCATAATAAAAATCCAATAAAAATCAAACTTAAAAATATATAAAAATTTATATCAAACTTATATGGCAATAGCCAACAATATGATACACAAAATTATGAATATTTTCTAAACCATGTCCTAGTAAATCAAACTATATCTTTTAAAACTTCTCATCCCATCTCACTTTGCATGATCATACAATCCATACCTCTCACACGAGTCATATGTCAAAATAGTATGTTTGGTTGGGAAGTCTAGTGAGATACACGCAAGTTATCCATCATATTTTAAAATCATACATCATTTCTATGATACCAAAACCCCCTTTCACCTCCAATTGAAAATCATACTTTATGAAATCACACATTTAGGAAATCCATGTATTTTACACGATATAATGATGTAAATTCCCGATTTTCAGAATAAATTTTTTATTTTTAAAATAGAATAAACACATTCATAAGCCGTAATTCAAAATCAGAAAGCCACACGGAATCTCGAATCGTAAACTGCTAATGTGTATGTACAGTCACGCCTTCACATCCCCACGAACTAATAAAGTACCTGCAAATATTTACTCCACAACTATAAGCCAAAACTTAGTGATTTCCACAAGATACCACATACAACAATATACATACAAGCATACATGCAATGAGTCCGTACAAATCTAACAAGTGTCTAGGCTCACAACACTTTAGTTGATCTTGCCATCAACTTAACCCTCGTGAATCTCTAGACTCACAACACTTAATGTTGATCTTGTCATCAACTCAATATCGTAAATGTATAGATCACAACACTTAATGTTGATATTGTCCTCAATTCACCCTATTGCTCTCAACATAAAGTTGGTCCGCCCACAACTTGGCCATATGTACAAAGCTGGATACCTCAGCCCATCACAAATATGTCGACATATACATAATACAGATAAACAGACAACTCATCATCATATGTAATAATCTATACGTCTACCTTCCTAACAACATACTATAGTCTAACCACATCCTAGCACAATAGGGTACATATTGTGACATATAGTATAGTCTGGAAAACTCACCTAAGCTAAACATCAGAAGCTCAACAACAACTTTGGCAACAAAACAGCCAACACCAACTACCTAATGAAAAACCGAGACCAGTCGCTGTAAAATGACATAAAACACAAAGGTAAGGTCCTTAAATACGGGGAAACTCTAATTTTATGAGATTAGGCTGCACAGCCACCGTGTCGCGGTGGCTTTCTCACCATGTTGTCATGACGAGCTTTTGCTGATTCCTTTCTAACTTTAAACGATCATAACTTCCTATTTTTAAATCCGTTTTTGGTGATATTTATATGCACGCGAAGGTATTAAAAAGCCTCATTATTCAATTTTATTACTTTTAAATTAATGAATACCGAACTTAATCAAAGAGTCAAAATATTGCTTTCCCATTTCACCATTTGGCTCTAAAACATAATTCAAGACCTTAAATCACTTAACCAACAATACCAACGTCCAATAAGGTCTAACCTTTATTATCTTGAAGCCTAAGACCTTTACTCGATCAATTTTATAACCCGCTACCCCGAAATTAGAAACATCCCGACTTGGATGTTATAATTCTCCCCCACTAAAACTGGATTTTGACCTTGAAATCTGACTCGATTAGAATTTTGAAAAACAGCTCCAACACAATCTATATGCCTCATCCAAACACTTCATAAAGTCGATGCATGCATAACGAAAATACAGGAGACCACTCAGAACCCAACTGATGCCAACAACCAATCCACTCACTTGAAAACACTCAACTCCAACAAATTCCTCTCTTGCACTAACTGTAGGAGCCAACTCATATCGAAAGCCACTCGAACCAGGAAACTCATAAAACTAGAAACATGAACCAACTCTATCAAAATACTTCACAAAAGTGGAAACCCGTCAGTCTAAACTCTAGAAACCATACATAATGACTGATGATCATCCATTTGTCATATCTACCCCTAAGCCTGATTAGGAACACCACCCAAACCATGCAAAATGAACACCGAAAACATTTCGATCGTGAATTTCAACTAAACCTAAATCTAGAAATTATGCCCAAAAGACCTCAAATACACACTTGACTTTCTGACAAGTCATCACTAAACCACTGCTCCCTTTAGCGTAAGAATGGTTAATCCAAAAATCTCGCGTGACATTTCAACTCCCGTAATAGCTTAGATGTACAACCATCTGTCAAATTATCCAAGAGACCTACAACAAGTTCCATCATTGGTAACTTAACTCACCTGAAACTGTTCTCACAAGGATGAGCAAGGATCCACTAAGAAGAAACTTAACAAGGAACTGCCGATAAACAATCGTGACTTTTCCACAAGTCAAAATCCTACAAATGTCTGACCCAAAACTTTCGGTCACTGAGCCCAATAGCAACACCATATTGCTCTAGCTCCTAACTATGCTAAAAGACTAACGAACCAAGACCCAAAGGTCTCATCCACCTAATTCGTAACCACACTAGTTCACAATACGTCGTGACGCCATCCACTCATTGGAATGATAAGCTCATAGTTCTACACCATTCTTACCATCACCTAACCACGAGAATGAAGACTCCTAAACAACACCTTAGTGGGCCTATAAGCACACAACCATGATCCCACCGACCTGCAGGAACCCAATCAACATCCCTTCCAGCACTTGAAAACCATAATACATGTCATACAACTCACTAACATGCAAAGCCTACCGCAGTCTAGACTGCTACCAACGTAACACCAGATGACAACATGATTGTTCGTAACCAAAAAATATGATAGACGGTTGAACACTTGTTCCAACCGAAAGCAATAAATCAAACAAGAACCATGACAAAATCCGGGATAAGTGTTTGCAGGATATCTTATTTTGTCCACCTAAATTCCTCATAACAAAATTTGATGAACTACCACACTACACACCCTCAAGGAGAACACACAACCAACCCATATCTATTGCATTCCTTCTTCATTACAACCTTACCTAAAGGGTGAAGTGTAACATCTTGATATTGAGGTATTTCTTTTTTAACCCTAAGTATGAGGATTTATTGTATTTTAGCCTTTGGATGAGAATTAATTGTAAAATTGGCCCATAGTGGCATT